TTATGTTGTTGTTGTTGTTGTTGTTGTTGTTGTTGTTGTTGTTGTTGTTGTTGCGCAATCATTGCGATTATTGTCTTTACCATAGCGATTACACAGCTGTAGAGCGGGAAATGTTTCCTATGTGGTTGCCATACCAGTGTTTTTGTTGTTAAACTGACGCTTTCTCGAAACAATTCCATGAAACTAAATTTGCATAACGGGTGTGTACTAGGGTTGAATGCATGAAGCGGGTATACAATTGCGATATGCCAACCAACACTATGTTTACGGAATCCTGTGACGAACAAGTATTATTCACCAGTGCGTATAGTGTACTCATTTACTCAAAACAACGCCGTATATAATTATTATAGAATTGTCAAAAACTGTATGAACTTCACTGATCACGAGGAAATTGATAAGCGAAAAAAGTTAAGGGGGTTGAGACCTGTTCACTAGATCCCTGGGTTATTTCCTGTATAACCATTAGGTCTTCATAATTTATCATCTTGGCATTTATGTTACATGTACTACAACTCTTCTGCAAATTTTTGAACGATAAAAGTTTACGCCGATAATGACCTTTCGTAAGAAGACTCAGACTCTCGATAACGTATCCTCGGGGGCGGAGCTACGTCACAAGACGTTCCACGTTGCTAAGACGCGCACCACTGTTCATGCACTTCTATGGGCTTTGAGCGCGCTGCTGTGGAACGCCGGGTGAGCTGGTGAAAATTCGAGAAAACAACACAAATTCAACTTTGAAGTAATCCTGAACAACTAAATTTATATATGTTACACACGTAGGGCTACTCTTGCTACACTGTTCATGGGAGTCTCAACAACCATCCCAAAGTACCGTTTTCTGCGAGTTTTTGGCCTTTGTTTTCACCGCGAGGGTTGCCAAGCGGTGAAAATGCCCGGACGTCCGCCCCGACGATATAGACCACTTTCCCAGAGGTAGCTAGACTGGGGTGCATGGCGGAAAACACAAACTTCTTAGTTTGCTGATAGTCGATGGAAGAGAATTTAATTTTAGTGACGCCGATTGGTACACCCAGAAGCACAATATCACGCGTGCAAGTTTACGTTACACCCCAATCGGTACGCGCGCGTATGCGAAACGCCGTATTTTCGACTTGCGGGAAAGTGGTCTATGTGTGACTCGAAGGCCGTTCAATCGTCGGGTTTTCTTCAGAAGTCACGATTTTTAGAACAATTTCATAGAACACAGTGTAAAAGGGAAATTGAATTTTGATACGTTTTTGAAATAATAACAAACAGTACCCTATCATTCACTATATATAATTTTGTACAGCCTATGTTGCCACCAACAATTTTATATCTCTGCAATATATAAATATATAGTAAAAACGTTATAATAGTGAAAAACGGCCACTTCCGACTAAAAAACAACAACCATTCTCTCGAAAATTAGGGTGATGACTTTTTAAAGTCAATGTTCTAATACTGCTTGGGAGGGCAATTTAATGCAAAGCAGATAAGTTAAAAATATTTTTATTTAATGAATTTTTGATTAAAAAAAGAGTCCAGCAAAACTGTGGAAAGTAACCAAAAGTTTCCTCTTTAATGTGACGATTGGAAGTTACAAAATTCATAGAGAATGAGAGAGACACGTTAGACTAAGTATAGTTGTTATTGTTTTATTATTTATGTCACCGTGTGAGCGCTTGTGCTGTTTGAAATAGAACATCTTTGAACGCAAAAATCACGCGTCGAGGACGAGGAACTAGCGACGTAAACAGATTAAACCCAATTGCAGGGCTTGTCTATTTGTATATTATATTTCTAAGTTTCACTTGCCATTGTTGGGTTTTAACAGTGCTGATGAAATGGTTTTATAAATCTGTAAAACAGGTAAAAGAAGAATTTGTGTTTTGGCAATAGTTTATGGACGTCGGGCTTCGAAACGTTCCATTGAGGCTGGACCTCGCCAGTCGACTCGCCCCTAGTTATACAGTACATAATCGTAAAGCTGTCTAGAACTTCCCAATGTCGGTTTACACCATTCGATTATCTGATGAAAATAATCTGTTCGGGTAAATCGGATCGCGTAAAACCTGCTTTTGTCAAATTGCGTCGACTTGTTTGGAGCGCGTGTTCGCCTGCGCCCGAGCCTGACGTCCGCGTACAGTGGATTTTGTCGTTGAAGTTCTTTTGTTCGCAAACGTCTTTCTTCTTGTACCTGCTACTATCGTTGGTCCGACAAGCGGGTGTATTATAATAATGAATCTCAAAAATATGCTTCTTCGCGGAATATTATTGTTTGGTGAGTTATTGCATGATTTGTATTTCCTTTACAATTATATTTTTTAGAATGGTGAAGTGCTGATTGAAATGTTGCGTTCGATCCGCGTTTGGGAACAGTTTGAAAAATGGTGTTTCGATAGTGCATGCCGATTGTTATGTAAATATCTGTATATCTACTATTACCGATACTTGACATGCTCGATCAATCATGTATATATCACGCCGTGTCGGCTATCCATGCCCCATGTGGAAATGTGGATACTATGTTATAGGGCCCGGTTCTGGTGGCAGTCGGCAGTATGAAGATTTTCCAGACAAACAATGTGACAAATAATTTTGTCCTGGGCAATATTCAGTGTCAAAACCAGGATCTGTCATTGCCATGCCCCTGTATTATCATACTGTTGTTCTCATATCAAAATGTCACGCATTTCCATCAACACGTATTTCTCCGAGTATGGCGTGTATTTTGTAGTTACACAGTTCGAGCATGTATTAGTCTCTGTGTTTCAAGCAATATACAACTAAAGTTTGTGTTATTTATTTTATCACATCGAGCAGACATCCACCATGCACAATCACAGCTACTATACATCACTCACACCCGCTCTCCCACAAAATAACAACACTTATATTTGAAGTATGCAATATTTTATTTTATCTATTATAACAAGTTTCACATTACTCAATAACATACATAAATTGTTTGCTGAAAAAACAACGAAATACACTCAGTAAATGTTATTTTCAGCCACGGATACTCTTTTTAGTAACCGTGTTTCAGCAGTGTGAATCACTCAATCTATCGAGGATTCTTGAAATGAATTGAGAAATTCTCAAACGCAAGTTATTTGATCACTCTACAGATAAAAATGTGCCATGAAGTGACTGAAATTACCTTCTCACGAACGTACCACACATATTCACATGTCACACAGCTTTAGATCGTTTTCGGTTAGTATCGGCGTGGAACGCGTAAAAATGGTCACAGCGTTGAACGCGCCGCAGCGACCCCGGCTGCGACGTTTCAGTGGCGGCTTTGCCGTACATTTTTGCTTCATATATAAAATACCCTAAACACCAAAACAGCACCAGTAATTGGCTGGCAATATACCATGTAATATCCATTTTTATCAACCAATCACAGCATGCGTAGCAACTGCGAGATGTGCTAAACATTTTTAGCACCATGTGTTAATTGCTATATGTCACTTATGTGGGTCGACATTCACACCATGGGTTAGTGTATAGATTTTCGCACACAGGGTTTGTGTATGAATCTTCACACAATGAGTAAATGT